AACTGATAAATATAACGACTGCAGTGTCCCAGGGTCATGTGATCTCCTTTTGAGAACTTCTGACAAGCAATGTTAATGGGGAAGCCAGATTCCCCATTACTTAACAACTATAATGATTCACTTAACAACTGTGGCAAGAAAGGTCAAAATATGGGGCAAAACTTACTTAACAAATGTCTCACTTAGCAACAGAAATTATGGGCTCAATTGTGGTTGTAAGTTGTAAGTTGAGAACTACCTGTACAATATAAACTGTTCTGATGTGTTATATCTTACTTCTGAATTCTCATAGCAGTGCTAAAAGCAGGACAGAGAAAAATCAAAATACTTACCTGAGTCTCACTGAACTTTGCAACATTTCCCTTGCTACTTGTGCACCCTTCCTGAGCCCTGCTGCGTTTGTGCAGCACTATTCCAGTCACTCGTGCACATTTGTGCATCCATTCCCACTGGAAGCACCCACTCCAAGCCCCGCCGTGTTCACACTATGCCTCTTTTGCCACTCGCACACCCTTCCTGGGCCTTGCTGCACTTGCACACCTACCTCATGCTCATACCACACCTCTCTGCCACTACATGCTCTCATGTCTCAGGATGCTTCCGCCACGTCTTCTTCACCAATTGCACATTTCCTCCAGTCCCTCACACACCCTTGTGCATTCTCCCCTGCTCACCAGCAGTCACCCCAAGCCCCACCACACTCATGCTGTATCTCTCCAGCTATCTGAGCACCTCTTTGCTTTCTCTTCTACCCAGCAGCTGCCACTTACCTGCCTGGCAGTGTGCTTGTGAGTTGCCTGGGTCTCCTGTTGGCTTCCTCAATGGTTTTGATTGTTAGAAATCCCAGGACGTTGTGAAGAGGTGCTCGTTTAATGACTTTTGTTAAACTGTAGCACCAGGGACTGCAGTGATTGCTGTCACTAAACTATGTAGTCATGTGATTTCATGCTTTATAACCACATTGCTTAGTGGTGGAAATTCTGGACCCAACTGCCATTATAATTCAAAGACTACCTGAATTGTGCACAAACAGCACATAAGGCAACCTTAATCTATAGATAAATTCTACTACAATTTAAAGCATAGCATACTGAAAATATGGTTTGAATTAATGCTGTACTTATTTTTTTTTTAATGTTCAGCAATCTTTTATTGTTGCTGTTTTGGAGAATTATGAAATTGCATTGATCATTCATCTGGCAAACAGTCCACATTTACAGGAATTAGGTTACTGTGATTTACTTTTTTCGCCAGAAACAGATATTTACTTTTCGTTTCTGGCAAAAAATCCTACCCGTTACAATGGTTTCATTGTAATGACCATTGTGATTTGCTTAATGACCACCGCCAAATAATGTTGTTGGTAAAAAAAAATAAATCACAGTAACCTAATTCCTGTAAATGTGGACTGTTTGCCAAGCACCCAAAATGTAATCACATAATTGAGAGGGGCAGCCATTGACATTTGGAAATGGGATAATAAGTACTTGTTTGGAGTCAACTGTAACTTTGAATTGCTGTTATAAGTCAAGGACTACCTGTATCCATGGCCATAAGGGCATTATAAACCCGAGACATCAAGATAGTTCATTGTTAATATTATCTTTTTTAAAATTCAACTTCCCTGTGAAACTCTCCTGAAAAAGCAGTTATTGATACTTTATATCAGAAGATCCATCTATCTACAGTACCCCATTCTTCTTACATATAGCTTCAGAACATTGCTACTACATATAATTCCTTATTACAGTCATACCTGCTGAAAAGCCTTTTCTGCTTGACGATCTGCATCAGTAACTTGTTTTTCAAGTTGCTGCATCTATATAAAGGAATAACAAATATAAGATGCCATCTTTTGTGACAGTTCTCAATGAAAACATTAATACATCACAAATAGGTTTTATATGGAGTTGAAGGTGTTCAAGAGGTTAAAATACACTGCCTAAATAATCCTTAAAACAATATTATATAAAGTATTTATTACCAATAATTATAGGCAGAAATGGATACAAATATACATCAAGGACCACACTAGATCACCCAGAGGGTAGAATCCATCTAATTTTCTCTGCCAAGGGGAGGCTCCTGTTAGGGGGCAAGCTTAATTTTTAGGAAAGTCCCCATCTCTCTTTCGTTTATGGAAGCTTTCCAGTGGATTAATTAGTTGAATTCCTTCAAAAAGGCTGAGTGTTAAGCAACATATGACACTAAAGCTTTCTGTTTAATTTAATAGTAGATGGGGGGGGGAGGGAGAATTCCAGCAGAATTACGTTGTGAAAACTTTTTGTCACAGTTCTGCTAAAGATTACTCCTTTGTGTACCTCCTAGATTTAGAGAAAAAGTGCTGCTGGCAATGGAAGTTCTTAATAGCATTTGTGCAAAGAGATAATGTTTGAGGACGTCGGTACTTACTGCACCTAGTATTTGCAGCCTGAAATGCTTCCATATTTTGGTCCTTAGCTTAGACTTTAACAAATATCTTTATTTGGAATCTGGAAGTTGCAGGACGTCAATGGCACTTATTTCTGATATACACAGAGCGTGCATAGGCCTACTGGCATATATAGAGTTTTCCTATTATATCTTCAATAATCTACAATCTACAATTACTTGAAATGCAAAAGGCATGGGATTCTGGGTACAGTTCAGTCCTGGTGCTGACCAGTTAAGTTTTATATGGCTTGGCTCCTGGTTACCTAAGGGACTATCTCCTCTGGATAGAACTGGAGCATATTCTATAAGCTGAGAGGATGCTTTACATTCCCTCCTTCTGAGAGAGAAGAGGCTTAGGTGCTAAAGAAAGCCTTTTTAGCTCCATCACTTTGTAACAGCTTGCTTGCCTCAAGTTCTAGATGGCCCACACACTGTCCTATTTTGATAGGCACTCAGAGTTTAGAGCCATTTTTAGATTTTGGGATTATTTTAATTGTGGGATTCCATATAGTTTGCAGTTTGATTGAGTGTAAACCTCCTAGAGTCAGGTAATTGAAGTAGCCTAAAAATATTGCAAAAATAAATGAATTTAAGACACTATCCTAAATCTTAAGGGGAAGCATTTTAAGTTCATCCCCAAACATCCAGACATACAATTTATTTGGAGAGTTCTGCTGGCCTACCACAATTCCTTAAAGATAGGATTGTGTCACTGAGGTTGACACGGCCCATTTTATGGCTGTGCAGATTTTGTTTGTCATTTGTTAAGTTTTTATCTTAGCTGCTGTTTACATATGTATTTGTAGAGGCTAAAGGAAGATGACCTTGACAGAGCTATGCAGGCTCTGTTGCTTAGGCAGTCCATGAGATAACATTTCAAAGTAGCTCAGAGAAGTACTAAACTATAAGCAGGAAGACAAGGAGGAACAGCACAATCAGACTTGCAAGATTCTTTTACAGCCAACCTCAATAAAAGTACCTTTAGCCTTCCTGTGGAGCTGATTTCCTGGTCTGGTCTACCACTGAGGCTGATGGTAATATTATTATTGTTATATGTGATTGCATTTTAAACTGGGGTAAGCTGCCCAGAGTCATGAATTTGAGATGGGCAGCCAAACAATATAAATGGAAATAAATAAATAAATAATCCCAGAGAATCTGAAGATCATGTGTTCCTCCTTCTTACAATAGAATTTCCATGGACATTCTGCATAATTCAGCTTTCCCAAATTTGTAATCCCAAATTTTGTTCATTTGATCACTCCAGTGCCTGTAGTTCTGTAAATAAGAATGGGTCATGCAGTTAAACTGCACATTTAGAGTTTAAGGTGGAGAAATGAAAAATGTCCAAAGTAGGATCCAGCTAAAACATTGAACAAGATACATAGTCAGAAAATAGTCCTCAACTAGTTAATAAAAGAAACCTGGGATTAAAGAGTGATTGTGTCAAGTAAATATGTTAAGTAGTTTTGCAGGAGCTCAAAGTATGCTTTGCTTAAGTCAGCTTTTTGGCAGCCTGTACAGAATGTTTTGTGTGGACTAGAAATATACTTGAATACACTCAGATCTGTGTATACCTATTTCTGTAAAAATGATAAAACATACAAAGTGTTCAAACTGTGTCCCCTCCCAAAATCTCCGACAAAAGTTTTATTATGGATAGTTGCCATGTTATAGGAACTGATCAGGCATACCTAAAAATTGTTAAGGATTCTGGACAGACTTTGAAAAAGTCTGCTGATTCTATTAGAGTAGCTTAATGCCAACAGGTGGATGAAAGTCTTTGAAGTTCAAATCTACTTGTGTTGTGTTTTTTATGCTTTATGCTTCTTTAGCTAATGGATCAAATAAAATCATTGCTGGGTATTATTCTTTAAGTCATATAATTAATTTCCTAAGCAGAGTTATAAACAATATCAGGATTTCCAGTTCTGGCTAACCAGCCTAATAAATATAGTTATTCTATATTTGTGGTCTCTGGCTTTAGCCCCTCTCACAAAGCAAAACAATCAAAATATACTGGTAGACTGCTAAATAACTGCTTTTAATAACCAGAGACAGGTATTAATTGTGCCTCCCTAAATGGAACTGTTTATGTATCAGTTAGATCAGAAATACCTGATTTTGAATGGTAATACCAATGTGGAAAGCTATGTATTTTTATTAAGTTGTTTCTTGACCATCTTTTCTCCTCATCTTCCTGTGTAATTATCACAGATGTTATGATTTAGGCTTTTTTATTACTCTGCTTCTAATAATTTCCCAATTACATTTTTATCTTTAATCTTCTCTTGATTTATATTCTTGCTATGTTTCTTTTTCACCAAACCAGCCACAATCTTTCATTTTAAACAAGATAAACTTTTATTCCTATCATTCTCCATTACTTGTTCTTTTATGTCTATGTTTTCTCAGCTGGAGAGAACACAGACATTTACAATCTAAAACCACTTCAAAACAGACAAGAAAAAAAATTAGATTGTGATCAGCTAACAGTCAAATGGCCAATTCACAAAAGTGGCAAACTATATGTGGCACATAAAATTCTACAACATTAAATGTGATGAAGTCATTTTTGTCTGACAGCAGTTCAGAAACATAAAATTGCTTGGATTGATCTGAAAACACAACAGGAAAGGTGTGATACATTTGTAACATACCTGTAGAAGAGGTATATTAGAGGAAATCACAAGCAGCAATTTCTGTTTCCTAATCAGCAATGGTAGATAAATTTCTTATATAAAATGTTTTTAAATCTGCCCTTTAGGTCTGCTGAAGGAAGCCCATTAAATCTCATTTTGTAAATGCTCTGCTGTTTAGGAAATAGAAGAGACAAAAGACCATTGCCAAGTGTGCTTGGAGGCTTATAAACTGTTCTCTAGTTTCCTGAAGATGGGCTATGCTTTCATTTGTTGCCTTAGGGCCACCATGGATTGCTTAAAATCAGAAGGATTTTGGGTAGCACCTTTTAAAAACATTTTAAAGCAATAAGAATCATCACAGGCATGGAATGGCTTGCTTATAACCCAACAAAAATAATATTTAATTTGGGAAGAGACCAAGAAAAAAAAAACCTCGAGAAGTACGGCCACTTTTCACTTTGGTTAAAACTACCAAAGAGTATGTGTGAGATCAAACTTGGTGGAAATAATTTATTCTTCAACAAATGGTTGGCAAAGAATTTTGATTTAAGTTTTTCTTCTGTTTGAATATTTATTCAAAATATGTTGTTGTCAAACTAAGAGCCAGCATGATATGGTGTTTAAGGCTTTCTTAAATATTGTATTTATCTTATTGTACAGTACAATTAGTTTTCCCCTATCAGCCATAATTGGGACTGGCAACTCCACTGAGGTCATAATTGTCATGTGATTCCACCTGTTTTACAATGCCAGTTTGTCAATTCTGGTTGATTCATTAGTCAAATCAACCACAACTGTTAAGCAATATGTCATGTAACCATGACCTGCAACTTCTGCCAGCTTCCCCTTTGACTTTACTTGTTGGAAGCCAGTAATGAAGTTCGCAGGTGGTAATATTGTGACTGTGGGATGGTACGAACATCACAAATGTGCAGCAGTTGCCAGGCACCTGAAATACAATCACGTGATTGGGGATGCTGCAATGGCAGCAATTTTCAGAAGTGGATGTAAATCTCCTTTTTCAGTGCCATCATAATTTTAAATAATCACCGAATATGTAGTTGGTAAGTGAGGATTAGATAAATGCTAATAAAAATAAAGAAAAAAAAATCAAACACTAAAAATTTACACTAAAATGTAAGAAAGCACTGGAAAGATATAAGGGAAGAATTAACCTTACATCCTATTTCTGCAAAACCTTTACCAAGTTAAATATTAATTTATTCTCCTGCTTACAATATCATGATCTAGAATAAATCCTGGTCAGTACCAAAGCAAGCCAAATTTAAAATGATTATATTCAAAATAATCTTATAATACAATAATCCAGTGGGATTCTAGGAAAACAAATAAAACACTGAGAAGTTATCCTCTTTATTGTCCACTGCACTAAATCAATTATCAGTATTATATGTGAGCTGAGCCAATGGGTTATTAGGGTATTTTCATTCAGGACTATGCGATGATTCAGAAATATTTGGAAAATGTGCTTCAGGGCATGTTGGATTGCAGATGTAGCATCTATCTGCAGGGTGGCTGTATCTTGTCCAAGGACTCCATGTTTTACCCTCTGCAGCTGCCATGGAATTCTGGGAAAAGACACAGCTGCTTTAAAGAGTTCCAGACAGGAGCTATATTCATGCTTCCACATGCTCCAAAACACCTTTTTGCAATCAATCTGAAGCACTGTGCAACTTTATTTTGTATCTTTTTCTTTGACAAATCAAGGGCAGTCAAGTGGGCA